GAGTATTGTTGTTCAAAATCGATTATTTTAATTAATTTTTAATTATTAATTTTATTATTAATATTATATCTGTTAAAATAAATAGCTGCAATATGCAATATTCAACTTACTATAATGGCAGTTCATATAATATACATATAAATAATTATATATATATATGTATGTATATATGTATATATGTGGAAGTGATAACAATGAAAACAAAAGTCAAGTTGATGTATTTTTGGAACATAATTTATTAAACACGAATATTTCGTCCACTCCTGTTCACCAATATATTTGTTATGGAACAACGTGCTACATCATTTCACAATGATACATCTCTGTATATATGTATATATATATATATATATATATATTTATATATATATATATGTATATATGTGGGGGTGGGGTGTGGGGTGTGTGGGTGTGTGTGTGTAGGCTAGTTTCTGTTATTTTTAAAAATATTCCTATAAACTTAGGCCTACTTCAAGGTTCATGTGTATATATTATATTAATGCTTGCGGTACACTACGTAAATAGTTCTGAAAAGAAATTTTGTTGTTGGTTGAGAATATTTCGACATTTCGATTGAGTTGCTTCAATCGCCTTCAGGAGAATTATATCTGCAGAAATACAAAATCACTGAAATACTTAAGTGTTTTTGCTGCTGATTGGTGGAAAACCAAACAAATACTGAGATGTGTTGCATTGGTTTAGGTCCGATTAAATATGGAAAACCAAATATCGCTAATGACATATTCGGTATCCTGGTGTAATGTATCGTGTCTGCAAATTTCTATAGCTTCTCTGGTCCGTCTGAAATGCCAAGATGGTAAATTGGCTACCAATTTATTTATCCCAACATAAATCATATGTTATGACTGTTGATCCGCCAATGACAAGGGACTAGAATGACAAAAGGCAGAGTGACTTACCAGAAAATCATAATGCAGATACAAATATCCGTTATTACCATTGCCAGTATAAGAAAACGCCAATAAGGTATCAGGTATGCATACAATGAGGCTATCATGTAACCAATTGACCACTGAACTGAGATGAAAGTCCCGGCTAAAGACCGCCTTGATGGACCAACAAGTTCACATCCTGAAACAAAATAATATAATAATAATAATAATAATAATAATAATAATAATAATAATAATAATAATAATAATAATAATAAAAATAACAAGCAACCCTACAGCAACAAGAAGAATACTTGCTTTTTTGCATTCGCCTTTTCACATGTAGTCTTAGTTATTGTTTAGTTCTCCACTAATCAGCAGCAATTCTCACTACCCAAACATATAAGTATATATCTGTTTCGGAATTTCTGCAGATATTATTCTCCTGAAGGCGACTGAAGCAACTCAATCGAAACGTCGAGACTTTGTCAAACCAACAACAGTTATTTTCAGAAACTTCAACCACACATTCAACCTCTGTTAAATTTAAATCGAAACACCGTTTATCCAACTCGTCAACCTGGCACCAGAAATCAGTTTCAGGAAACAGAAATACTATGGATAGATAATTCAAACCAGTTGATATCACACATAAACTAACAATTATATAGGAAAGGAAAAAAAACGTTGATTGCATGGTCCGATATGTTGAAAAATATCGTCAAAATGCTGTATATTACGTTCGGGTTCCATCGCCGTACCGGTACTTAAAATGAAATTCCGGTCAAATGATTCTTCCAAGGCTGCAGCTAGCAAATAAATCTGTATTAATACAGATATGTAACATATTACAGTACAGTATTTTTAATACTAATGTTGAGTTGGTCCAATGGCTTATCTATGTAATAAGTTGCAGACAATGGTATTCGGTTTATATTCTAATAAACCGAATATCATTGTACCATATGGTCATGTCTGTTAATTCAGCTAATTTTTCAGAACTATCTACGTGGTGTATCGCAAGCATTAATATACAGTATATGTAAATACGTAGTTATAACTTAATTTCTGACTAAATAATGAAATTATAAATTAAGTTATAAATACAAAGTACTTAAACTTCAACGCAATTATAACGCTATTATAACGTAGAATTGCTTGCTGGGTGGTGCTTGTCTATGGTATAATGTTGACTCGCTAAAAAATTTATTTTGCATTATTATTTATTGATAGAGACATATCCAATGTACCTATATTATTTATTAGGTACTAGGCCTATTATGTATTGCTCTAAAACATACAGCATTAAAGTTTTCAAAATACTTATATTCAATGAAATACAAATGCAACATACATACCCATGACAAATGTTGTGTTGAAAACCCCCATGGAGAATACCGCTGAAATCACTTTGAAAGTAATGAACATCAAGTACCATTGTGATGATAGGACAATAATATTTAGTAACGTACACATCAACATACACAGCATTATGGTCCTCTTTCGCCCAAATCTATATTAATAATCAACAAAACATACGGTAAATTATATTACACACAAATTGAGGACAAATGTTTTGATAAATTAACATATAACAAAGAACCATTGTAATAATTCAAAGCGGTTGAAAAAAATCATCCAAATCTTATTTCCATTCTTTATTGGCAATCAAGACAGAAGGATGGGAGGGCCTGGTCTCTAAGTAAACTTAATTACTATAACATATGTCAGAGAACCACTCCCATCCAGTAATTACAAATATATATCAATAAAAATTAATACAAAACACATAGATATATATCAGTTTTATCACATTACTATATTACGTTTGTTTGGCAACAAGACGTGAGCCAAAATACTGTGGTAACATTTAAAAAACGCCTATAAAACAGTATGTTCCCTGGAACGGATATCAGTCTATCAGACCATAAAACGATACATTTCATTCGCTAATACAAACAGAAGCTAAAACAATCTTAAACACATTTATTAAGAAAGTGAAAGTATTGACGCGTGATACCATGAAAGATGTACAAGGATGTCTTGAAGTCACAAATTTGGGACGTTTTTCTTGAATCAGAATCTATTGACACAGCGGCTGAATTCATCAGCGAGAAATATACGTTTCTGTGAATCCAACATTATAAAAGGAAAGATAGTATAGTTTTATCCAGATAGTAAACACAAAATACAAAATATTATTTGGCTTTCTTACCTGTCCGCAATATTTCCAAATATAAGTGCCCCGAACAATGTACCAATATAAGTTGACGAGATTACTAGAGGTACTAAATAACCATCTTCACAAACCAAATCAAACTAAAAGAATAAATGTTTCAATAATTATTGGTGTTTAACGCGTGCAGGGGAAATTTTGCTTGAAATATGAGGGGAAAAAGAATTCGTAAAATATTTGCAGCTGAACAAAAAAAAAACAAAAAAAAAAAAACTTATCTTATAGCGACATTAGAGAGATAATGACAAAAAAGACAGAGTGATCTTGGGGATTTTAAATTATTTTCACCTTTTTCAATGACATAATAATAAAAGATAGATTATATCTACATAATTTAAATAGCCCTATATAATAAATATATACTCTCTCTTTGCCTTTATGATATATCATTTTTTAATTTTCATGATCTCATAAAATCGTGTAAGCTGTGTATAGTTTGTTGTAAGGTTTTAAAAGTTCCAACTTAATTTAGTATGACTCCTAAAACCCTTCAAGTGTTTTCTGATTGCATAGAAAAAACACTGTTTGATTAAGAATATTTATATTGCACTTGTATTATTGACAGTAATAACGGAAAAGTCAACTATGTGACATTCCTAAGGTTCAAACTCGGTATTTAAGTTATAAAGTTGCATACTAGCATTGCTGTTGAAGTGTTTTGCATGTAGGTAAACTAAAGATTGAACTAAATTATCAGCCAATTGCCTACACTATTTCACTAATTCAAAATAACCAACAAATTGTGGTGAATTTAAAATAATAAAATTAAGAACATATTTCTTGTTAACGGAATCAAGGTTGACTATCACCTAGACTTGAGAGCAATGAGATTTGTAAGCTACAAATCGCCCGTTTCTACATCCTATTGCAAAAACCGCGTAGAACAGAAAATGGTTAGAGGGATAAGTTGAAATTATCGAACCGGTTACCATACCTCCTGCGTTACAGAAGTTTTATATTTGGTAGTATCGTACTCGTACCCATTATTACACCTATGAACAGATACAATTTTCAATGATGTTGTGTTGGAACTAAATTCGTAATCAGTAAGATTATATTGACTGCAATGCCCTTCGATTAACGTAGTACTACTCTGGTCTGTTGGTCGGTAATCGTGCTTTAATCCCACACATTCAACCTCTGTTAAATTTAAATCGAAACACCGTTTATCCAACTCGTCAACCTGGCACCAGAAATCAGTTTCAGGAAACAGAAATACTATGGATAGATAATTCAAACCAGCTGATATCACACATAAACTAACAATTATATAGGAAAGGAAAAAACGTTGATTGCATGGTCCGATATGTTGAAAAATATCGTCAAAATGCTGTATATTACGTTCGGGTTCCATCGTCGTACCGGTACTTAAAATGAAATTCCGGTCAAATGATTCTTCCAAGGCTGCAGCTAGCAAATAAATCTGTATTAATACAGATATGTAACATATTACAGTACAGTATTTTTAATACTAATGTTGAGTTGGTCCAATAGCTTATCTATGTAATAAGTTGCAGACAATGGTATTCGGTTTATATTCTAATAAACCGAATATCATTGTACCATATGGTCATGTCTGTTAATTCAGCTAATTTTTAGCTCCAATGAGGGACTATAGGAGTACCTTGCTGATTGATTAGTAATAGGTAAGATATATTTTTGCTGGTACATCTTTTTTGCTAATAGATCCTTTTCGTATATCTTTCTTTTTTTGTATGGGCGGCCGTTAGGTTAAAAACGCAGCGTCTTTCTGATTAGACATTTGAAATGTTGGTCCCGTATGGAAATGTGTGACATGCACGTTGAAGAACGCAGAACACTTTGAGTAGGAGATTGTCTCCCGGTGTTAAATAGTCGAAGGGTTGCCACTCCACTATCAACGGTGGGCCTAGCCATCCAAGACCACTTTGCAAGTAGGCAGCAAGTTCCCTCTCCCATATCAAGTGGAGCGACCACTCGGCACCGATTATTCCGTCAGTCACAGAGATGTTTATACGTTCTCTTGTCTGCATTTTGTAGAAATTAGTTGGGACCATAGAGATATAATAAGAATACTAAGAGCGCTAACCGCAATGTATTCGATGTTCGAAATACGCAGAACTGTGTGTGTACCATCCAAGATGGCTGCCATAGATTTAGCCAATCAAATTTCGCTAAGCACCATTGTTTGCAATTGCGCCCTCAATTTACTCAGAAAGTTCAGTACAGCTAGTTACCCGTACTTATACACATCTCCTACATGAAGTCATATTATAGTAACTCGATGCCCATCGAATAAGTAATAAAAATTCGCCATAATTCATCAAATATCCATGGCGTCCAGGGGGCTTCGCCCCCTGCACCCCCACCGGGGGACCTAGGCGGCCCCCTGGCCCCAGCCAAGTGAGACTCGATTCGCTCCACTAGCCCCCCGTCGGGGCCTTTAGCCCCTCCGTCGGGCAGGTCCTGGCGCCACCCCTGGGGAGAACCTGTGGGTACGAAACATTTGAGCTTAATAGGTGTGGTTTTGGGAGGTGGAATTTCATGAAGATGGCCGTGCCACCACGACCACCTTGGTTAGGGAGAGTTAGTCATGATAGTTATGGACCACGTTTTGTCACAAGGTAGGCGTACATTTTGTGACAGAACATAAAGTGTGTGATAGCCGAGCACATGGAAATGTATTTTGACAAGCATATGAATACCTTTCAATTCACTAACTAGAACAAGAACAATACCATTCTAAGTGACACTTAACGTACTCTTAATTGTTAATCTGATTTGACCCAATTAGAGTGTAGGCAGAAAATGCTGGACGGGTACGATTTTATAAGAAAACAACGTGACGTAGTATCATGAATCACAAACTGTTATAATCTCAATGATCACTTCATTAAAGTCACGTCATTATAACGAATTCTAATATTTTTAAATTTCAGTCTGATAACAATAATGTTTTTGTGTACTTACTTACTTCTGCCCGTAATGCCTTCGGGCACATAGGGCAGCAACCAGAGCTTTCCAATCACCGCTGTCTTGAGCCAACCGCTTTAAGGACTCCTATGAGTGCCTCGAGTTTCTCATCTCTGCTTCAACTGTTCTCCATGTATTTTTAGGTCTGCCTCTCTTTCTTTTCCTCTCTGGAGTCCAATGCAAAGGTGTGCGTGCAATGTTATCAGGCTCCTTTCTTAGCACATGGACAAGCCATTTCCATAATATTTTCGGTTATTGTTTCCATGCTCTCTATCTGGCAACGGGTGAAGAGTTCTTGATTGGAAATTTTGTTCGTTTAGAAGATACGCAGGTTTTTGTATATTCCGCCAAATTTCAATATATTAACGACATGAGCCTAGTGATCAACATTTTTCGATTGCTTCTATATTCTCGCCAGATGGCATTCCGGAAACATGTCTTCTAGATTGATTGATTGATTTGTTAGTTGTAGTTGTTTTTTTTCGGTTATTGTTTCCATGCTCTCTGTCTGGCAACGATTGAAGAGTTCTTGATTGGAAATTTTGTTAGTTTAGAAGATACGCAGGTTTTTGTGTATTCCGCCAAATTTCAATATATTAACGACATGAGCCTAGCGATCAACATTTTTCGATTGCTTCTATATTCTCGCCAGATGGCATTCCGGAAACATGTCTTCTAGATTGATTGATTTGTTAGTTGTAGTTGTAGGCTATCTTTTAATTCCTATATTGAATTAATGTTCTCATAATATAGTTATGTCTTTATAACATATTCATTTTATTTAAACCTACCACACGGTTTATATTTAATACACATCTTAAAATAGTAATCTTTAAACAAATATTTTTAAAAGGTATATCACCCTTAAATATCTTACGCCATCTTACAGCACAAAACCAAGTATATTGCTGACAGTTTACTATTTTCTTTATACAGATCCTTTTCGCTGGTGTCATTTTTGAACAGTTCCCATATCTAATCTTTGGAGGTCTAGCCATCGCTGCTGGTCTTGTCACGTTATTGCTTCCGGAGACACGTGGGTTAAATCTTCCTCAAACTTTGAAAGAAGGAGAAAATCTGGGGTGAGTACTAAAGTCCTTAGTGTGGGGCGTTAACCCGTTGAAACCGATTAGTGTCGATTGTTCTATTCGAAAATAACGTAATATATTTCTTTTCATTTTATTATTTATTTGATGCACATCAAATTAGTTAGAAGTAACATACAAAATTACAATTGTTATTAAAAATAAAACAGTAGTGATAACGACAATGAGAACAACGAACAACAATTACAATTAACAAGATAACATAAATAAAATAAGCAAATAAAACAAAAAAATATATATAAATAAAATATACACAAAGAAATATTGTTGTGCCCATGACTTGAACCATGCATTTGCGGTCATAACGCATTGAATTACCACATTTGGTAACATGAAAAATCAAAGAGTGAATGAACTAAAATTATTATTATTACCAATACCATTATCATCGCCATCATCACCGCCACCGCCACAATTTTATGTAAGCTTACTGCAAGCTCTAGTCTATGTTAAAATGATTTCGTCAGTCTATGTAATATAATGTATTCCTATTTCTTTTTTAATAAAAGCGATTTTTTTTTCACATTGTGAATATTTCTCGTCAGACAGACGAAATGTACCAGGATGAGAGAGAATCGGTTATGTAACTTCTCATTTACATCTTTTCCAAACACGAATTAATGTTCTGTTGTAATGTATACTTTCGTTGTCCGATCTGATAATAAATGTCTGTTGTACGTCTGCTATGGAAACGTTGATAATAATGCATTTTAAAGATTTATCCACACTGTGACAGATCTGTGTGAACTGTCCATATGAGGGCATGATGATGTCATGTCATACCCATATTGGGGCAAATCACATGTATTTGTCACATAGAATTTGATTGTGGGAACAGAGCTTTATTTGATGAGATTTCCAGCTTGAGTGAATAGTATTGCGATTCCCACTCTCACTAGCTTTCCTTAGATGGTTAAACATATGTGATCAAAATGCGCCCAGTTTATGCCCCGTCAAACGGCAACACTACTTTTATAATATTCAGTGTCCAACAATTAAACACGTTCAGTCATTAAAAGCACTTCAAAACAAGATTATACAATCTTAGGGCCAAGTATTTTTTATTATTATTAGCTGCTAATTTTTATTATTATTAGCTGCTAATTTTTATTATTATTATTAGCTCCGATGAGAAGCTCTAAACACACTCCGCTGATTGATTTGGCGCCAGTTTTGAACGTGCAGGAAAGTTTATACACCTGTCTCTTATACACATCTAGATGTGTATAAGAGACAGGTGTATTAATAACTATTAATTAATTGGACGAACTATTGCACAAAATAATTTCGGAATTACGATTTCGTCTCTACAGCGCACGATTCGTTTAATGAACCCCAGCAATTTAGAAGCCTTAAATCTCGTCTGCGAAACATGCAACCCCCAGTCCAATTTTGAAGTAAAATTTATTCCTATGTATTTATAAGAGCTAACCTGAGTCAGAGAGTTTAAACCAATATTATATACATGAGCA